TGCTGTTGTTGAAGGTAAAACGGACAACCGAGTTGGCCTTCCCCTCCTGCTACTGCTGCCGTTTCCACCCCCACCCCCATCACCCCTCCCCCTCTTATACCGTGTTTCTGTTCGCACCTGCCTTAACTACTTCATCAAGTATTGATCCAAACTCGTTACTTGTCTGGGGTTTTCTTTTTAAGCCGGCCGAATTACTTTGGCCGACAGTTTCTCGCGCCGCTGGGTTAGCGGTCGCCCTGGACAGCCAGCCGTCGGACCTCCTGCTGCTCGTCCCCGGGCGGGCGGGGCGGCGGGGCGGCAAGGGCGCGGCCCCAGCCATGAAAGTTTGCAATGATTACCTCGCGAAACTAATTTATTCACCACGCCGGCCTTCACTTTGTGTATCGGCGCCGCCCCACGCCGCCCGGCCCGGCGCATTCCAACTTATAATGAGCCAGATGTGGTTTCCCGTTTGCATTTAATCCGACAGAATGGAAACCATATCCGCTTGCTCGGGCGTGGCGTTGCGTGGCGGGGTGGGGCGGGGCGAGGCGGGCGGCCAACAGGGCGCTGAGGTGAGGAGAGGGCGCCGAGGGAACCCTTGGGCCCTCCTCGACGCGTCTGGCCCCCGGGCTGCCAACTTTCCCCTCCATCGGCGACGCGTTTTGCAAGCGAGTGCTCTACCAGGGAGAAGGAGTTCTTCTCTTCTTTTTATTTAAAGGTAAAGGCATAGAAGAAGAAGAAGAAGAAGAAGAAGAAGAAGAAGAAGAAGCGGGGGTGTTGCCGAACAGCATGGTACAGTTTTCCATCTTGTTAGTGAGTTCCCTGCTTCTCAAATCAAACTAACGAGACCGTCCTGACACCATCTAGTTCAGTGAAATTCTCCGGCACTGCGGCCCGGGCCCTCCCTCACCCATAGGCAATGGCCGGCCAAGGGCTGGGCTGCCGGCTGACCTTTCGGCCGAGTCCTTCGATAATTGCCCGGGGTATACGCCCTGCCCCAGGCCTGCGATAGCCTGGCCGTCTACAGCCGCATGCTTAGTTCAATGGCCTTGGTTCAACGTCGAATGATTAGAGGGCGGTAAGAATAGGGTATATCAGAGCTTAGGTGAAGAAGTAAAATGGAAGAGCAAAACGCGCACTGCGCATGAGCAGGCGCCCCCACTATATACCCTGCTTCCCGCACTCCGCGTCTGCGCATGAGCAGTGCGCGTTTTGTTCTCCCATTTTACTTCTTCACCTCCAGCTCTGAAATACCCTATTGGTATAAGTGCGGCATAAAACACCCGCCACTATACTGAAATAAACACAGACAAATGTAATGTTCATGTGTGGTGAAATACCGGTATGATATTTCTTTGCCTACTAACTGGGCATGTCAAGTCCTAAAATATTACTTGATTTTCTGATGTTTGCTGATATTGTTCTGAAATTTCCTTGTCCACTGGGTACTGGGTGTGTCGTCAGGTTTTAAAAGTATTACTTGAGCATGATTTTTCCATTTCGTAATATTACATATTGAAACAATTGGGATGCCCATGATACTCATATACTCTGTAATTTTGTCTAAAGAAATAGTCATTTTGATGCAAACTTTATTTTTGTTTTAAATTTACAGTGCATGCAGCACGGCCAGCTTTTGCTTTCATTCAATCAATTGCTCTAAAATATAAGAACATATTATCAGTCTGCCAGTCTTCTTGTCTTGTTCCTACCGTTCATTCAAATCATCCCTCCTTTTCCGTTTCATAGGCTACACATTCTGATTCACGTTCGTTTTCCGTAGCAGGTTAGGTGTCCCAAACGATGAATAAATAACTATGTCTTTTATCCATCGTACATTGATATGTAAAGATGTCATATTTTTATGCGAGTGCAACGCTAATGTACCGAGTGGAAAGTGTTCATTTTCTTACTTGAGGTTGCCTACACTTTCAGGTTATCACAGGTCAGACCCACTGGCGATGCACGGGGTGGTGAATCCAAGAAGTTGAGTTATAGTATAGGACATGACATGATCAGACCAGGACATCCTCAACCTCAACTTAATGACTGGGACCATCAATACAACGTACGTTCTTGTGCTACAGGCCAACTAGGCCGCGGTCTACAAACTCGAGCAGCAGGTCGGCGACGGTGTTCTCGCCGTCCTCGCCCAAGTATTCGAGAAAGCTCGCCATGGTCTGGCCCGCTTCGAATTTGTCGGGGATGCTCCTCACCACGGCGTACATCTCCTCGGTGGACCCCTCCGACCCCTCCTGCGGGCCCGCCTGCATCACGGGCAGGAAGTACGAGCAGATGACGAAGCCGTAGAGAGCGTGGCGCGCGAAGTCGGCCCGAATCGCCGCCAAACTCGGCATTTCTGTGGACAAGGAGAACCGTTAGAATAATAAGTACATGATAACATCTGCAGGGCCTGGGTGGAGCAAACAACGAGAAGCCGCTCAAAAGTAGAATAGTGAAAAACTTTGTAAAGGAAAAACACGTATACCGTAAAATTGAAATAAAGTATTGCTAAAGACAGTGTGCTCATAAACCATCCTACGCTGCAATACCTACCGTTGTGGTGGCGGCGGAGGCCGTCTGGGGGACGCACACGTGCGGGTAACGGGCCACCCCCGCCACACGGACACACACACACACACACACACACACACACACACACACACAAACACGTACCCATGGTGGGCGACAGCGTGGGGTCCGTGGAGCTGCCGGACAGAAGGCGCCGCAGGGCCGTCGTCAGGCCGTCGTAATACGACACGAAGAAATCGTCCCAGTGCGCCGCGCGCTGCGAGGCCGTCGTGTTGAGAAACAGGAACACAGACAGGTCCACGGCCGGGGAGCAGTACCTGCAGTGGACAGGCAGGTGTGAAAAGGGCTCGCCCGGCGGTAGGGGTTGAAAAGGTGGAGAGGCGAGCTTGAGAGGGTGTCGGTCGCGCGGTGGTGAGCGCTCATTTAGGCCAATTCAGCTCGCTTGCATGACGGTGGCGGCGTCAACCCGCGTCAACCCTTGCGCCCTACCCCGGTAGCCCTCGGCACTCAAACACGCTGCGAGCACGCCACGCACCTCGCGCGCAGTCCGCCCGCCCGACGAGGCCGCGGCCCGCGGCCCCCCGCCGCCGCGCCCTCCTCTTCCTCGAGAAGTACAAGACGCTGACCTTGGCGCGAAATATCGTAGTAGCCTGGCGTAGTGCGGTATGCGTGGCATGAAGGAGTATCGACCCGGCCCGGCCCGGGCCGGGCCGACCCCACTGCGGGCGCGACCCGATCAAGCGTAGCATGTATTCAAATGCTTAGGCGCGGCGCCAGGTTGGGGACCCGCCGGGAGGGGGGCTGCGCGCGGGCTGCGCCACCTGGGACTTGGCGCGCCCCGCCGCGCCCGCGGTCCGTCTACCCACTCGCGCCGACGCACATCTCATCTCCACGCCGCGAGACTCGGCACGCATGCATGGAGGGAGAGGACCAGGGTCCATTTTCTGCCCCTGTGACCTTCTCCTTTACGCCTAGAGGCTGTTCAGCCCAAAATTTATCAGAAAAGATAGAAACCATCCCAGAAAAAATA